CATCCCTTTGTGTGTATTTTACCTCAATAAACTTATTTCAATTTTCAATTTCGATTTCATACCTTCTCCTTTACAGATATACAAATAATACATTTCGAAATACTACAACAGCCGGAAAAAAACTTGGAAATTCAACGCTGGCATTCTTTTAACATCCAGATCGAAGCTTGATGAAAAATAGAATGGAATATTATTTGACCTCCTGACTCCGTGACGTGAACCTTGCAATATTGGATGGAGAGGCAGCTGGCCAGAGGAAAGGGGCAAAGCTATTATTTGTTCAATACATAAAACGATGACCTCTCTGAATACAAAAGTTTTGGAGATATATCCATTCACCACATATGTATAAAATATACGACACATATATATTCAATAGCTTATATTTTGAGGAAAAAAACTTATTCTTACATAATTTGTATATACACTGGTTGATAATTGATATGTTGGTTTAGCAGGATGTGCATCCAAATATGAATATATATCTGAAATTAAAGTTTGTAAAGTAGTAAAAAACTTTACACACACAGAAATCACAATAGCGTGATATATCAGTAATGGAATATTATTTGACCTGCTTCAATATTGTTTAGTAATTTGTTTATTGAACTTGATTTGAACAGTGAACATCTTTGTTAACACCAGCAAGTTGCATAAAAACATGCGAAAAGATTATGTAATTAGATTTGTATATAATCTCTATTATTTATTATAATCAGTATAATCGTAAATCTAAAAAAAAAAATATTCACTTCTAAAATTTTGTGGTCATTTTTGTTTAACTGTAGTTTAAATATATGTTAATTGTGATTCGTTGGTTGTTATTTCTGACATTACGTTAGTTTATTGATGCAAATCTTTCCATTTTCTCAGTGGAAATTGATGATTTCCAAAATCTCAGTGTCCAGTTCACCAAAAGGAAAGTTTGAGAGAGTGAAATATTAGCCATTTTCTACACATTTTAGTCACAAGCAATTATGAAACAATATTTACTACGCAAGAACCAAAAATGTGTAACATTGCGTTGTAATCGTTGATAGATCAATAAGCTCAATAAATAATAAATAAAAATAATAAAATAGATATCAATAAATAGATAAATCAATAAATAGATCAATAAATAATGGCCTTAATATTCTTAATTTGCTGGCAGGTGATGACTTTAGGAGCTATAAAGAGAGGTGGAAACGCCTGGTTAATAAAATTTTGTCTTACAAGTGGTTCAGCATTACAACGCTCCTCAACACGCCTCGCCAACTAGTCGAGCTCGCGACCAGGGATCGAACCCTGGTCAGGAGTTCAGTCTCTGACAAGGGACATGCAATTAGACGCTAACCTTCACCTGTTCGCTTTTCCTCACCCAAGCAACAAAACCATTTAGTTGCAAATCGATTGGTGGATCCTGTTTCAGTGAAATTGAATTTAGTCTGGCTTAAGACTATAGCTATAGCCTATAGTGAAGCTCTAAGCCTGTGAACCAGAGTCGGAATTTCTTTGCTCCTGCACCCTGCCACGAAAGTAAATAGAGAAGAAAAAAAAAGACATGTAAAATATGTTTAGAATATTGGAAAGAGGTCGAGATCATGGACTTTGAAGAGGTGGAAAAGGCAGGAATTAGCTGCCACAGTTATGGTGATTGGATTCCCTTGTTGTTGGGGTGTTATCTGCGAGTGGAAGGTGGTTGAAGTAGAGGTGGTAGTTGTGTACTATACTTGTAGGGAAGAGCTTTCAGATTAAATACTGTAGGAAAGAACATTCTTAAATGGTCTACGGTTTACAAGTGATGCCTGAATTCAAACTTTTAGCATACAAATATACTCTCGCCTCTATAGAAAACTTTTTCCCATTAATATTTTCCGTCAAAAATTTACATTTAAATTGTTTTTTTTTCAAATAGAGAGAGAAGTAAAGACAGTGAAATTTTTGGTGAAATAAATCATTTATTGTTTCTGTCACAATTTAGATATAGCAGAGGGGAGGGGGGAGGGGGAGGGGGTGGGGGAGGGGGGGAGGGGGGGGGAGGGGGTGGGGGTTAGGGGGTTAGGGGGAGGGGCAGGGGAAGGTTAGGGGGAGGATTGATCGGAGAAAGACTCAAGCACTGTTGCCACGTCCGTGGGCCCCTGTTGCCAGGTCCGTGGGCCCCTGTTGCCAGGTCCGTGGGCCCCTGTTGCCAGGTCCGTGGGCCCCTGTTGCCAGGTCCGTGGCCCCTGTTGCCAGGTCCGTGGCCCCTGTTGCCAGGTCCGTGGCCCCTGTTGCCAGGTCCGTGGCCCCTGTTGCCAGGTCCGTGGCCCCTGTTGCCAGTCAACATCTTCCTCAAACTATCATTTCTTAAGAAAAAATATATAAGACAGGAGAAAATGAAAAAAATGAATAAGTTGAGGAATAATTACATTGATTAGAAAGTACACTTTGTTAATCGGGCAACGTGTCCCTCATGCATCTCTGTATATAGCTGGACTCACCACAAACAAGATCATTTATCAACACATGGAAGGCATTCAGTGCTAGAGCAATTGGAGCGTAGTGGAAGCTATATGGAAGGCAAGAGTCAGGGAGGCTGGACTTCAATGTCTGGTGGTCCGACAGCGATATTTTACCCAGAGAGAGAGAGAGAGAGAGAGAGAGAGAGAGAGAGAGAGAGAGAGAGAGAGAGAGAGAGAGAGAGAGAGAGAGAGAGAGAGAGAGAGAGAGAGAGAGAGAGAGAGAGAGAGAGAGAAAGAGAGAGAAACATTTCCAGCATTACATTAGCAAGACGGAATGGTCGCAAACCTGCAGTTAATTACCTGCGCCATCATGGTCTCCATTGGGCTCCCATTGACACCCCTTGACAGCGATCTCACACACACACACACACACACACACACACACACACACACACACACACACACACACACACACACAGTCACCAGTCACGTAATGTTTGTGAGAGGTTATAAAATGACAGTTAGGGAGAGTTCCTTGGCTGTGGATGAGGCCAGATCCACTCTCATACACGTGTGGATGAGGCCAGATCCACTCTCATACACGTGTGGATGAGGCCAGATCCACTCTCATACACGTGTGGATGAGGCCAGATCCACTCTCACACACGTGTTCCACTTCTACCACTGGATAAATGTAATCCTTCGAGGAAGCTGTATTTATTTCTAGTTAAAAACAAATGGATTAATATGGCTTTGTCTAGCAACTCCAGATGAGTGTTCTTGCTCTCATTCGTTGATATTAAGTCTGAGACTATAATCTCAATTCAGACCCCGGCCTTTTCTTGACAACCAATTGGAACAATGTGGCTTATAATATTACTTCTGTGGTGGCAGTTTGAGACGTAAGTTGAGGTGTTTGTCCGGAGCGAGAGTTCTTTCTTTTGGTCTCTTTGGCCAAATTGGATTAGCCAATTTACCTTAAGTGGTTGTCCACGCCATCACTCTCCCTTAAGCTTGGTACGATCTCAGGACTGGTACCTCTCCTGTACCTGAGGGCAGGTACAGGAGGACGTGAGGTACAGGACCAGTGCATGAAGTACTGGGGTCGGTGCTAGTGGCCTGGCGCTCGTATAGTTGGTGTGGTGTGTGAAGTAAATGTTTAACACCAGCGTGGGCAGGCAACTTCGCTATGAGAAAGGTTTCATTGAAACCTCATTTTTTAAGGTTGTTGGATGGTGATTTGGACAAGAGCTGTTGAGGTAGTAGGCATCCATCAGTCTCAGGAGACTATGGAGTTAGGGCCAGATTCACGAAAGCACTTACGCGAGCACTTACGAACGTTTACATCTTTCCTCAATCTTTGACGGCTTTGGTTACATTTATTAAACAGTTTACAAGCGTGAAAACTTCCCATTCAACTGTTGTTATTGTTATAAACAGCCTCCTGGCGCTTCGGAGCTCATCAACTGTTTAATAATTGGAAATAAAGTCGCCAAAGATTGCGAGAAGATGTATTGGTTCGTAAGTGCTTACGTAAGTGCTTTCGTGAATCTGGCTCTTGGGCACTGGTGTCGGGCTGGTCTGGAGTGGCCTCTCCAGGGCGCAAAGCCAGGGTAGGTTGATTCGGGGGAGAAGCTGTTAATAAGACTACGGTATTCGTCTGTTTCATCATCATCTGCTGGTGAGACAGATGAATGCCCTTACTATATGGCATGAATTTCTGGCAGTGAATTACGGCACTGAATTACAGATTAATTACTTTGTCGAATTATAAAAATCTGCAAAATAATTCATTTTGCATAGCGACAATATTTAATGTTTAAAAAAGAGAAAGATTCCATATACCATGAATAAATGCGACGACAGCCGCGAGATCCCACTTGTATTTGATTGGACTGTTCATAGCCAGATCACTAAGTTCAGTAGCAACAATAGTCACCATCTTAGATGTTTCTGTTTTTATCATCGTAATCATCACCTGTAATGTAATCATCGGAGTTGATAACATGATAGGTTTGACCAAGTCGATTGTCACAATCGACTTGAGAATGGTCCAGGACGGACCGAAACGTCGTCGTCCCTTCACCTTCTAGTGTGTGGTCTGATCAAACTACTTCAGCCACGTTATTCTGACTATCGACTTGAGAATGGTCCAGGACGGACCGAAACGTCGTCGTCCCTTCACCTTCTAGTGTGTGGTCTGGTCAACCTACTTCAGCCACGTTATTGTGACTCCTCACCTGCAACATGACAGGTGATACGGATGACGTGTGCTGAAATGCAACAGCAAAATACTTCTTATCAACCCTACTGCAACAAATGATAGTGATAAAGCACAAGGATCAAAAAGCTAGTTGGGAAGGTTCTCACTGATGATTTCACGTTTCAAAGTAAAATCCTGTAGAAGAAAACAAAACAAAATTTCATCAATGAGTTCTCCTCAAGTGTAGGACTAAGAGAAGGTAGTTCTACCATTCAACGTTTAAAGAAATGGACTCATTTCTAGTACACAACATTCTATGTTTCTTAACTCGGTGAAGTATCCACGTAATTCACATTGTTTACCACTGTACTGAGGTAACTTGCGACTCGGGTCTAGGCTCTCAGTGTCCCTCGTTTGACTCGGGTCTAGGCTCTCAGTGTCCCTCGTTTGACTCGGGTCTAGGCTCTCAGTGTCCCTCGTTTGACTCGGGTCTAGGCTCTCAGTGTCCCTCGTTTGACTCGGGTCTAGGCTCTCAGTGTCCCTCGTTTGACTCGGGTCTAGGCTCTCAGTGTCCCTCGTTTGACTCGGGTCTAGGCTCTCAGTGTCCCTCGTTTGACTCAGATCTAGGCCCTCAGTGTCCCTCGTTTGACTTGGGTCTAGGCTCTCAGTGTCCCTCGTTTGACTCGGGTCTAGGCCCTCAGTGTCCCTCGTTTGACTTGGGTCTAGGCTCTCAGTGTCCCTCGTTTGACTCGGGTCTAGGCTCTCAGTGTCCCTCGTTTGACTCGAATCTAGGCTCTCAGTGTCCCTCGTTTGACTCGGGTCTAGGCTCTCAGTGTCCCTCGTTTGACTCGGGTCTAGGCTCTCAGTGTCCCTCGTTTGACTCGGGTCTAGGCTCTCAGTGTCCCTCGTTTGACTCGGGTCTAGGCTCTCAGTGTCCCTCGTTTGACTCGGGTCTAGGCTCTCAGTGTCCCTCGTTTGACTCGGGTCTAGGCTCTCAGTGTCCCTCGTTTGACTCGGGTCTAGGCTCTCAGTGTCCCTCGTTTGACTCGGGTCTAGGCTCTCAGTGTCCCTCGTTTGACTCGGGTCTAGGCTCTCAGTGTCCCTCGTTTGACTCGGGTCTAGGCTCTCAGTGTCCCTCGTTTGACTCTGGTCTAGGCTCTCAGTGTCCCTCGTTTGACAAGAGGGACTCATTCCCATTCCATTCCTGCTCATTCACCCTTCATGTGATGAGCAGGTTGGCTTCCAGCTGGTTTTTAAGTATTGTCTCGTATTGTGAACATTGAATTTGAGAAATTCGACTAGGTGGGTAAAACTGGGTGAGTACAACTGAGTGAGTACAACTGGGTGAGTACAACTGGGTGGGTACAACTGGGTGAGTACAACTGGGTGAGTTCAACTAGCGGAGTACAACTAGGAGAGTACAACTAGGAGAGTACTTCTAGGTGAGTACTGCCATCAAATATTCACCACAAATCATATATTTTATCCCTACATCCCCCTATACAAGCCTACATCAACCTTCTGTCTATCTAACCTACTCTACTGTATAAAACATAAAACCCATCGTTCGTGTAAACATCAGCTGCATGTTGTTGTTGTTAAAGATTCGCTACCTGGAACAAAGTTCCAAGTAGCACGGGCTGTGGTGAGCCCGTAGTGCCTTAAAACTTGCTTCAGACGAGGACAAACATATATTCTGGAGCGAAAGGCTAGGCGTCTGCCAAGGTCTGGAGAAGGGGATGACCGAGTGGATAGGCGGGCCCCCAGAGAGGGCCCACTGGATGGACCCCGCGTATAAACCAATATGATGCAGCCCCCTCAGGGATGAGCCACCAAGATATAATATATATAATCTCGGAATATAAGATGTGGACGTATGTTTATTACACGTTTTCCAAAATGCGAAATTTTATATTTTTATTTACTGATATTGCTCACCCAAGACTAGATTTTATATGATAATATTACGTAAGATCTTCCTTTAATTTAATAAAACCAGGAGGAATAATATTGTACTATTATTCCAGATTGACTTAGAGCGGTCGCAGAGAGACAGCATATAGCCCCGCTCCTGTGCCGGGTAAGTCCACTCCGGGCTCCCCATAGCCCGTGCTACTTGCCCCGCTCCTGTGCCGGGTAAGTCCACTCCGGGCTCACCATAGCCCGTGCTACTTGCCCCGCTCCTGTGCCGGGTAAGTCCACTCCGGGCTCACCATAGCCCGTGCTACTTGCCCCGCTCCTGTGCCGGGTAAGTCCACTCCGGGCTCCCCATAGCCCGTGCTACTTGCCCCGCTCCTGTGCCGGGTAAGTCCACTCCGGGCTCCCCATAGCCCGTGCTACTTGCCCCGCTCCTGTGCCGGGTAAGTCCACTCCGGGCTCCCCATAGCCCGTGCTACTTGCAACTTGGTTGTTCCGGGTATCTGAATCGAAAACAAAAGTAACATTCAGACAGAGAAATGTCCCTCGGTAGCAGCAATCTGTCCTCTTAAAAAGAACGTCGCTTTTGGCCGTTTGCCCGTATGGCCTAATATGGACGTAATTTGAAAATGAAAAAAAAATTAATATAAATTTGGGATTTTTTGCTTCAACAACAGTAAGTTAAGGGTCCTCTGATAGGTTAGGTGGGCAGGAAATTCTCATAAAGTTTCAAAACGGTTTGAAAAACTTTAATGGAAAGTTCAATTTTCTAAGCTTGCCGAGTAAGCCGGACGACTCAAACAGAAAACGGAACAGTACGTCACTTTCGTGAGTCGATTTCATTTCAAATTACGTCCAAATTTGGCCATAGCGCGCCGCAGACGAGCCAAAAGTGACGTTATTTTTAAGAGGACGAGTTGAGCAACTGGTTGTGCTAGAGTTCCCCAACTTCCCCAGTGTTCTACCAGAGGCAAGCAAGATAACCAAGGTACTACCTGTATGCAAGAAAGGGTGGGAGAGAGAAGAATAATGACGAGAGGTCATTAAGAAGTAATCTCTACAAGGTGCTGGAGAAGCTCGTACAGAAACAATGGGTAACAGTGAGAAAAATCTGAGTTGCAATCAGCTACAGTGACTGGCATGAGGGTTCCTGCTCCTCCTGATACGTGTCTGCAACATGATACATGAAATAGTCTTCTGTATCTATGTATGTGGATGATGCGAAGCTGATAATAGAAAATTGGAATGAAGATGACTGTGGGAGACTACGAGGATGGGAAGATCTATACTTTTCTAGCCCTATTCAAAGGACAATAAAGAGGAGAGGTAAGAGAGAGTGAAGACCTCAGGGACAGTATGGCCAGAAATGGATGTAGCTCCCAGAACCAATGAAAGAGGAAGTTCAATGAGGATTATGACTCAAAACATGATATCTGAGGAACAAAGGAATAAGACAATATTTGCAGCATGTCCCATAACAGGCAGATATCAAGTGTTTCGTCAGGAACCTAGACAAAATTACCTTTCGAATTCTAAAAGCAGTTCCAGCTCGGGCACGTAGTATATAGACTTGAGAAATCATAACATTAAAATATACGCAAGTATGGAGAAATGCGACAAGACTTGACTGAGAGCCTGACTAACAATAACTTCTACAATGAAAGACTGAATGGACTCATAATCACCACCTCTGGGAAAATAAAATTGGAAGGAGAATGAGAGAAAATTGGTTGAGAAAATTCAATATCAAGTTACAAAAGAAAATAGAGCGAAACACAGGAGATACACTCTCTCTCTTACACCCTGAACAAGGGCCAATAAAGGGAATAGGCAAGGGAGAGTGAGGACCCCAATGCATTAACTGATCAGGATATGAAAAGGCTAAGGTTGAGACATGTTGCTCAACCCTGAAAACGCAACATGGTAAGTGCAACTAGATGCGAACACACACACACACACACACACACACACACACACACACACACACACACACACACACACACACACACACACACAAACACACACACAACCACCCGGGCGCCTGATGGCTAAGTGTGTGGCTCCTGGCGTGAAGAGAAGAGCAGTGTATCGAAGCAGAGTATTCGAATACGCTCATTGTGTGACTGTCTGAGGCTGGGGGGGGGGGAAGCAGACGACCCTCTAGCCGTGTGGAGGGTCGTCTGTCTGAGGCTGGAGGGCAGACGACCCTCCAGCCGTCTGGAGGGTCGTCGAGGGACTGACGGCACCGTGAAGGCTTTACAATATTGTCGTCCTTATCACCAAGTAACTTACGTGCCACACAACCTTCCATTGTGACTACTGATTATATGTGTCTTGTGTCATAATGGAGATAAGGATCGACCCCCCCCATGCCACTCCTTAAGTAGAATTGCACCCTATTGCAACATACACCGATCACCCATGAAGTCTGAAATGTGGGGTCGAGTAATAATGTTAAGCTGTTCATCATACTGATGATGATATCCTCACAATGCACCAATAGTTTGCCAGTGTACAATGCTTATCACATGCCTCTGTATGACTGTGTGATGGAAGTTTTTAGCATCACGTAGCTAGTTTTTTTAAACAAACTCTGTACTCCTTCACATAGTGTAGCGCAGCTGCACGAATGCAGATGCGCCTAAATGGGTTAATAAACAAATAAAAGTTCGTTACACTCAAAGTAACGACAAAGTTCTTGCAACTTTGCATGAATGTAACAATAGTAAAAATAACGTCGTAGTTGTGTCTTGTGTAAATATATTGAATGTTCTGAGACAGTGAGGGAGGAATCAAGCGAAAGAGAATGGGAAAGAGGGAGAGAGAATTGAAGAAAGAATGGAAGAGAGGGAGAGAGAATATGAGTGAATGCAGGAGAGAGAACGGTGGTGAGGGAGAAAATGAGAGAGAGAGAACAGAAGGGAGGTAGGGAGAAAGTTATGGAAAACGAGAGATGAAAGGAGAGAGAGAGAGAGAGAGAGAGAGAGAGAGAGAGAGAGAGAGAGAGAGAGAGAGAGAGAGAGAGAGAGAGAGAGAGAGAGAGAGAGAGAGAGAGAGAGAGAAGAGAAAACAAAAGAGAGAGAAAAACAATATACTACGCATATTATTTGTTTAATTTCTCTATATAACCGGTTTCATACCATTTAATTCTCTTCTCTTAAGGGTCGACTCTTCCATGCCCGCGACGCTGAGCTCTGAGACAGCTTTCAGTGCGGGGATTAAGATCACCAACACCTTCATCAACGTCGCCAGAGACTCGATATCCAGTCAACCAGTCACTCATTCTGGTTCAATTCCCTCAAACCAATGACTGCAACCAGTCACTCAAACCAACGACTGCGAACCAGTCACTCGAACAAACGACTGCGAACCAGTCACTCAAACCAACGACTGCGAACCAGTCACTCAAACCAACGACTGCGAACCAGTCACTCAAACTAACGACTGCGAACCAGTCACTCAAACCAACGACTGCGAACCAGTCACTCAAACCAACGACTGCGAACCAGTCACTCGAACTAACGACTGCGAACCAGTCACTCAAACCAACGACTGCGAACCAGTCACTCAAACCAATGACTGGAACCAGTTACTCTTAACGTAGAGACTCATATCTACTTTGAGGGAAAGTTTTTCCCATTTCCATTTCACTTTCTCTTGCTCATGTCGACGGTGGAAAGCATTTCCCAAGGGCCATAGTGTGTTCCTTGTGTTGATTCATAAGTAAAGGCTCCGCCTGCTTCCTTTTTACCTTTTAATTCTTATATATACCCCATTAATGTACTTTTATAATTTGCTTAGCCCATCTAATGGGTTATTATTGTAAGTAATAATAATAGCAACATTACTAGCCATCACTAGAGTGTTTATAACACTAAGTCATTGAGGGACTTGATCTCCAGGACTCGGGGTGAGTGTGTCACATGGACTCACTGAATGAAGGCTTCATGGAAAAAGACTTTCCAGTGATGTTGACTTTTGCATTTTGCTCGATTTTACACCTGTGCTTTGAATTCAAATTGTATTTGTCATTTAATAATTTATGCAATATTATTTCCGCCAGTTCTCTCATATCGGTTAACTGGTTCTTATTCACGTAACACGACCCGCAATGGTTGACTAATTAGCATTTCTGACTTTTATTTATTATAAACCTCAATTTAGAAGGAACTCGATATTTTGCTCTAATAAACGCCAGAGGACATTCACATTGTTAATGTGTGTGAGGCAGAACAATAGAAGGCAGGGAGTGCCTTAAGGTGGATAGGTCACTACAATTGTCATCCCTCTCATCCCTTTTGTCTGAAGTTCTATCCTTATTCCTTATCCTCTTCATCCACCAGCCTTACCATACCATTGGGTCCTGGGAGCGAGGGAACGACTGCTCCCCTTGGGAGCTGCGGCGGGACTGTGGAATTTCCCGGGAGCGTTTATGTCCCGGTGTTCTTGCATTCATTGTTTACTAAAATACAGAGAGAATTAGAGGAAGAATAACAAGGAAATCTAGGGGGGGGGAAATGACTTCACTGTGTAATGGATTTGCACTTATATGTATACGCGCACACACGCGTGCGAGTACATACACACAAACACATACACACACGAGCACATCCATACAAACACACACACACACACACACACACACACACACACACACACGAGTACATACACACAGATACATACACACAGACACATACACACAGACACACACAGACACACACAGACACACACACACACACACACACACAAACACACACACACACAGACACAAACACACACACACACACACACACACACACACACACACACACACACACACACACATATGGTGTAATCAGTCCAACACTCAAGTAACACACGAGACAGAAAATCAATGGTTCAAGAAAATGTCATAAACCTAAAAACAGTTAGAGGAAAACAACGACAAAAACAGAGCTCGAACTAAAATTTAACAATTGAAAAAATAAAATACTGAAATTATGAAGCAAAAGAGAAAACGATCGAAGGATATTTATCAGCGATGATTAAAAAGAAAGACTGATTTATTCCCAAGTCTGGATGAGCTGATAGTGAAGAGACCGATCACTTCCAAGAGAAAATGAAATGAACATAGAATTATGTGACATAACTAAGGAGTGCATTCGTAGAGAGATTAAAGAAATAACTAAGACATGTGACATGCATGATTTAAGAACGCCAAAGTAGAGGAGGAAGGAACGCCTAAGAGAACGCCCAGCTTGTCCTCCTAAGACTTCCCAGGGTCAAGAAAACGGTCAGTTTAAAGTGGTCTCTCCTAACCTACCAGAGGACCCAAAACAGAAAACGGGAACAGTACGTCACTGTCGCCAGCCGCTTTCATTTTCCAGTACGACAATTTTTGGCCTTATGTGACGCACACGAGCGAAAAGCGACGTTCTTTGCAGGAGAACAAAGTGCACAGAGAGTAATCAAAGACATTTGTCATGACAAAACTCACACCACATTAAACAACGCGGCGCGGACCGAGCAAACAATTATCAACATTAACAAATATACATAGAAAAGTACACATTGATTTTGAAAACAAAAAAGTATAACATTACACTTATACTCAACTAATCATAACGCCGCTGTTGTGTCTGGCAGTGAACTGTGTCTCAATATATCTCGTTAAACCAACTGTTAAGACCCGAGAGAGAAGAGCTACAGTAAAGGCCACTGACCCCCCTGGCAGCCTTCACCCTCCAAATGTATTGGAGGATATAACTAGAGACAGAAAAATGTGACTTATGGTTAACCGGAACTCGTAATCACCGACTTTTACAAAGAAAATTGTGTATAACAAAAGTAATTAAATTCTTATACAGAGGGTACAAAACCATACAGGATAAATACAGTTGATGGGTGATGTGCGTGTCTTGTATTCATGAAATGAATCAGATACCGTTTCCAATAAAGATAGAAATGAATCAGATACCGTTTCCAATAAAGATAGAAATGAATCAGATACCGTTTCCAATAAAGATAGAAATGAATCAGATACCGTTTCCAATAAAGATAGAAATGAATCAGATACCGTTTCCAATAAAGATAGAAATGAATCAGATACCGTTTCCAATAAAGATAGAAATGAATCAGATACCGTTTCCAATAAAGATAGAAATAAATCAGATACCGTTTCCAATAAAGATAGAAATGAATCAGATACCGTTTCCAATAAAGATAGAAATGAATCAGATACCGTTTCCAATAAAGATAGAAATGAATCAGATACCGTTTCCAATAAAGATAGAAATGAATCAGATACCGTTTCCAATAAAGATAGAAATAAATCAGATACCGTTTCCAATAAAGATAGAAATGAATCAGATACCGTTTCCAATAAAGATAGAAATGAATCAGATACCGTTTCCAATAAAGATAGAAATGAATCAGATACCGTTTCCAATAAAGATAGAAATGAATCAGATACCGTTTCCAATAAAGATAGAAATGAATCAGATACCGTTTCCAATAAAGATAGAAATGAATCAGATACCGTTTCCAATAAAGATAGAAATGAATCAGATACCGTTTCCAATAAAGATAGAAATGAATCAGATACCGTTTCCAATAAAGATAGAAATGAATCAGATACCGTTTCCAATAAAGATAGAAATGAATCAGATACCGTTTCCAATAAAGATAGAAATGAATCAGATACCGTTTCCAATAAAGATAGAAATGAATCAGATACCGTTTCCAATAAAGATAGAAATGAATCAGATACCGTTTCCAATAAAGATAGAAATGAATCAGATACCGTTTCCAATAAAGATAGAAATGAATCAGATACCGTTTCCAATAAAGATAGAAATGAATCAGATACCGTTTCCAATAAAGATAGAAATGAATCAGATACCGTTTCCAATAAAGATAGAAATGAATCAGATACCGTTTCCAATAAAGATAGAAATGAATCAGATACCGTTTCCAATAAAGATAGAAATGAATCAGATACCGTTTCCAATAAAGATAGAAATGAATCAGATACCGTTTCCAATAAAGATAGAAATGAATCAGATACCGTTTCCAATAAAGATAGAAATGAATCAGATACCGTTTCCAATAAAGATAGAAATGAATCAGATACCGTTTCCAATAAAGATAGAAATGAATCAGATACCGTTTCCAATAAAGATAGAAATGAATCAGATACCGTTTCCAATAAAGATAGAAATGAATCAGATACCGTTTCCAATAAAGATAGAAATGAATCAGATACCGTTTCCAATAAAGATAGAAATGAATCAGATACCGTTTCCAATAAAGATAGAAATGAATCAGATACCGTTTCCAATAAAGATAGAAATGAATCAGATACCGTTTCCAATAAAGATAGAAATGAATCAGATACCGTTTCCAATAAAGATAGAAATGAATCAGATACCGTTTCCAATAAAGATAGAAATGAATCAGATACCGTTTCCAATAAAGATAGAAATGAATCAGATACCGTTTCCAATAAAGATAGAAATGAATCAGATACCGTTTCCAATAAAGATAGAAATGAATCAGATACCGTTTCCAATAAAGATAGAAATGAATCAGATACCGTTTCCAATAAAGATAGAAATGAATCAGATACCGTTTCCAATAAAGATAGAAATGAATCAGATACCGTTTCCAATAAAGATAGAAATGAATCAGATACCGTTTCCAATAAAGATAGAAATGAATCAGATACCGTTTCCAATAGAGATAGAAGATAGAAGAACAAGATAGAAGATAACAACAGGAATTCGTTTAGAGTCATATTTATCCCTGTTTAAGGGTCTCTTAGTACAGTTGGCTTCGTTCCCGACTCATAATCACCGATCCAGCGTTCGATTCCCGGGCGAGACAGAATTAGTTGGGCACGTTTCCTTTCACCCAGTGCTTCTGTTCACTTAGCAGTAAATAGGTACTCGGGATTCAAGCAACTGTTATTGGTAGCATCGTAGGTAGTAAGGTTAGTCAATATGCCATCTGGGGGAGACCTCGATACAAACCTATTGTATATATATATATTCACAGGCTTCCTGTCCCCGACAAAATGAATTGTGTTATTATTTGAGGACAATGAAAACAACTGACGGATTCATAAGGCTGTTTGTGCATGCAGGCGGCAACAAGTGAGGGTCAACAACTGGCTGTTAGTGACCAACCACCATAATGGTTATGTGTTTGGTGAAGAAACATCTAAACAACAAAACAGAGACATCATCAAGTCATCATCTACACTCTACTCATCACACATGACAGTGTTGATGATGTCTTCAGCACTGGCATGGAACCCCATCCTCATAACTTCTTTTTGGTTCACCTTATTTACTTTTCTCCTTTATTCCGTCTGGGTTTTTTGTCTCACATTTATTACCTATTCTTTTCCATGTCTTCCCACTCTCATATTCCTCCCCACTTAAGTATTGTCCAATGTTTTGTTTTCGTTATTTTACATTCGTCTGTCGTGTCCCAACTTGATACAAATTCCTTCCTACTGCTGACATTCCAGGCTGGCTTGTCCTAACACCCAGTTCCTGCCCCGTCACTGCTAACACTTAGCTAGCAGTGACGGGGTTATCACTCTTCGCCAGTATCATGTATGACGTAGACTCTCTCTCTCTCCCTCCTCCTCCAAGCTCTCTCCTCTGCCACAACTCTCTCTCTTCCTCCAACACTGCCCACAGTTCTCTCCTTGAAATCCTCTCCGCCATAATCCTCAGTGCAGGCTCAAGTCCTGAAATATTACCCTCCTCAGCTCTCTAATTCACCAGTTTCACGTCCCGTGGCCCCCTTCTCCCCCCCCGTCACCCCCCCCTCAAACAAATTTCCCCTGGTAGCCTTCCCCTCACCATCTTTCCTCTGTAGCTCTCTCCCCTTTCCCCATACTCTGTCATCAGTTCTATGCTGGCTGACCTTAACTCCAGCCGTCCAGTACCCACTCCTCCAGTACCCAGCCGTCCAATACCCACCCCCTCCAGTACCCACCCCTCCAGTACCCACCCCCTCCAGTACCCACCCCTCCAGTACCATACTCCCGACATATGTTCAACATTCTGGGAATCTCCTTTGTCCTCCCTTGGTCGCAGCCAAGTTATTTGGCAATTTGAGGTCGTCCTCTCTTATGCGGTCTTGGGTCTGTTGGAGAGTATGTTCTCTTTGTCTATTTTCATCCGTTTGTGCCTGTGGGATCGAGCTTCAGCTCTTGTACCCCGGTAAACATTCCTGTCACATCTTCATTTTAAATTATAAACCGAGTTGGCTTCTACAACCTACTCACATCCCATTTACTTACTATTCTCAGGTTAAATTCAAACATTTTTAATGGGTCAGCTTGTTCCTTAAACTTTGATCCCTCGACCTCTCCTGTTATATTGTTCATCGTGAACATTTCTGGTTATTGTAACCAGTCTGTGTCTGTCTGTCTGTCTGTCTGTCTGTCTGTCTGTCTGTCTGTCTGTCTGTCTGTCTGTCTGTCTGTCTGTCTGTCTGTCTGTCTGAAGGAGGAGCTAAGTCAGACGTCTGAGGGTCTAGCTTCACCCACCTTTCCTAGGTGACAGGAAGCCACAGTGTTGTCAGCTTGGTCAATCTGTCATGCTGACAGGAAAAATTTAATACCGTTATATTTTTGCTTTGTAATTCTCTCTGATATTTAATTATGGACTTGTGTAGAATGGTGCAGACTGAGTTTATTATTATTTGAACCTTTATTGATGGTTATAAGTTTATTTATAATTTTTTTTTTACTGATTTTCTTTCTTGTGTTGTGTGTTTATATGAATTACTGTGTGCCACAAAGTTTGGCAAATTCCAATTTTAGGTAAATGTTTGTAAAACTTCGGTAAATAAAATGAATAAAAAAAATGAATAGCCTTCTTTTCTCATTTGCGGTTAAGTAGATGAATCTTTTTTACAGAGCATTTGATCAAGTTTAACATTTTTACTCATTTCCCAGTGCAAGCACGGCATCCTTTCTTTGTAATGGTCACATTTCTCATCTGAAGCATTACAAGCTCATTACCCCCAGGAAGACACAAATGAAACTGACTCATTCATTTATATAATTAATTTTTTTTTACCCCACGGATGTCAACCACCTGAGCTGGACGGTAGAGCGACTGTCTCGTTTCATGGAGGTCGTCGTTCAATCCCCGACCGTCTAAGTGCTTGGGCACTATTCCTTTCCCCCGTCCCATCCCAAATTCTTATCCTGACCCCTTCCCAGTGCTATATAGTCGTGATTGCTTGGCGTTTTCTCCTAATAGTTCCCTTCCCTTTGGCTCATGGATACGTGTAAAATACACGATGTGGTCCTCGTACCGAAAAATTTGGAGAAAACTAGGACCAGATTCACGAAGCAGTTACTCGAGTACCTACGAACGTGTACATCTTTCCTCAACCTTTGACGGCTTTGGTTACATTTATTAAACAGTTTACAAGCATGAAAACTTTCCAATCAACTGTCGTTATTGTCGCAAACAGCCTCCTGGTGCTTCGGAGCTCATTAACTGTTTAATAATTGTAAACAAAGCCGCCAAAGAGTGAGAAAAGATGGACAGGTTCGTAAGTGCTTGCGTAACTGCTTCGTTTATCAGACCCCTGATCTATATCAGTAAAAAGCTAAATTTCGGTTCAAGACTAGAAGCCAGATTCCTGGGACCGGCCTCTTCTAACTTTGCAGGGTGACTGGTGAGGGGGAGGGGAGGGAGATCAACATACCCGGGCGAAGGGCATGAGGGATATATACTATCAATAAAAGGGGGTTCGTATCCCCACGGCGACTGCTGCGAATTTGTTGGAAGATTGCTAACAGTTTCAATAATTGTATTTGTTGTTATACCTCGATACTACCCCCTTCTACCCCCTGGAAAGTTTGCCGAGGTTAGTTCCAACATCCCAGTCTTTAATTTCGGACATATAGTCTTCAAAAGATGCAGATTATTTATTTTTGCTGTATACTCACGCCTACTGATATGTGTTTTTCACACAGCAAAGCATTCATTAATATGCTAGACTAGTCTCGTCATCTATCTTGAACAGGTTCACAGTTAGTGGTTCATCTTGAACAGGTTCACAGTTAGTGGTTCATCTTGAACAGGTTCACAGTTAGTGGTTCATCTTGAACAGGTTCACAGTTAGTGGTTCATCTTGAACAGGTTCACAGTTAGTGGTTCATCTTGAACAGGGTTCACAGTTAGTGGTTCATCTTGAACAGGTTCACAGTTAGTGGTTCATCTTGAACAGGTTCACAGTTAGTGGTTCATCTTGAACAGGTTCACAGTTAGTGGTTCATCTTGAACAGGGTTCACAGTTGTTCAACAAGCGAACACTCACTTGTCTATACATCCGACTTTCACACTCAGAGCACAACCACTTACACTCTCAGTCTTCGTCCTCCTCAAGATACTGTCTCATGTAATAGGCTTTCATAGTCTATTACCAGGAAGAGCCGATCCTGCAGGCACAACTACCTTTCCTTACATTCACAACCTATTCTAGTTTGAACACATTTTTCTAAATTAATAGTTGCCTGGATTATCATCCCGATTCTCGTATCTACGACACAGTCACGCGCTAGCATGCCAGTCATGGGGCCTCAGACTTCCTCGATGATTACAAACGGAATACGACCCGCCAAATCGTTTAACAGGTACCCATTTTACTGTTGGGTAAACAATACTTCCTCGAAGTCACTCAATGACGCAGATCCCTCAGTTATAGTCTCAATATCAATATACTTGTCAACATTCGACTTTGATACTTCAGAACTGACAACAGTACTCACCTGTTTCAAACAGCAGCAGGACGCTAGAACGATAGTTTAAGCGAATTCTACACAGATCCAGTTACCACTGTCGTCTGTAATCGTCCCAGACGACGCCGTAAACGTCCGCGCTTCGTCCCGCGACCACGATAAATAATTAGACTACGTAAGGTCTTACTGACGCTTGCGCGAGGGACAGTGTGTGTGTGACCGGCGGTTTTCCTTTCCCGCTCAAATCACCTTCCCACACAGCGACCACCAATCAGGTTCCTCCTGTGGTGACGTCAGTCACCCGCTGGGGTAAACGAAGAGTATAATTGGTGCGTTACCTCATTAAACACCGAGTCGTAGCTGCAAGTGCTAGTTCCGTCTTTCTGGGGGATATTGGTTCCCATTCTGACAGGAAACTATTTACCGCTTGACAACGTGGGATATTTACCACGCTGTCAAGCGTTTAATATTTTCCCTGTCAGAATGGGAACCAATTTTACCCTAGAGAGAAGAAACCTAACACTAGCAGCTACGACTGAGCGTAGATACCTATTCAATACCTATTCAACAATTAAGAATACATGCTTACCTTTCATACAGCCACTCATATACATAAGGATACACGTAACTATACATGCAACTTGAATATATAATAATATACATCTATGTACGAGAACAAACCTATTTTTAATATGCATTATGTTAGAGTCGATGAATGCGCCTGTGTGGGGGGGGGGCGCCTGATGGCTGAGTGGACAGCAGTCGGGATTCGTAGTCCAGTGGACAGGGGATCGATCCCCGGCGATGGCAGAAACAAATAGGCAGAGATTCTTTCACTCTGATGCATCTGTTCACCTAGCAGTAAATAGATCCCTAGAAGTTATACAGCGGTTACGGGCTGTTTCCTGCGCGTGTGTGTGTGTGAAAAAAATCGTTGATTGATAGTTGAGAGACGGGACCAAAGAACCAGAGCTC